TCATTTTCAGCAGCTATTTACCCAGAACTGCAGGCAGCTTTTTCAGAACAAAATCCTTCACCTTTAGTTCCATTTTCCAAGACAAACAGTCAAAGCAGTAGCACTTGATTTCTTAAAACACTGAAAAATTCTGTTACTACTCAAACAAACTACAGCTGGTTCTGTTAGTGCAGCCTTTGGAACATGCTGTACAGAGGAAGCTTTGCATCTTTCTTTCACCAGTGTGGGTGTTCTGATATTCTTGGGATTCTCACCTACTCATGTGAGTCAGTTTTATATAACGCTACAACATACAATTTACCTCCTACTCACAAGCCAACACTTCAGCACTAACATCTTAACCAAGGTTATTTAAGGAATCTGAACTGAGTGTATTTTTATATAAAACTGCGCAAGCAACCGTTACATTTGTGTGTCAGTAATCGCAGCATTCAGTCCTCAAACGAGAACACAGATGATAATCAAGGTTGTTTAACCAAAAATAGAGCCCCAGAGGATTTCAGCCACATCATACCCTTGCTCTTGAATTACATTAGGTGCTTTAAAAAAGTAAACAATGAAAAACCAACCATCAATCTAATGTAAGATGCACTGAATTGCCATATCTGCAGTGTTCTCAGTTCTTCAAAGGAATATAGAGGAGAATGGCTGTGCAGAGTCTTAGGCTTTTCTCCAATACTGCTCAACCCGTATCTGAGTGAGACATTTAAAATTACCCGTGTTTATGAAGGTTTGAGAGCAATATGTGTATATTAGCCAGCATATTTCAGTATGGAAAAGGATGTGTGAAATAACACATATCAACCAAAGTGGTCAAGGCAAAGTTTAAACTCAGAGACTGAGAGTCACAGAACAGTTTGGGTTGGAAGGGACCTAAAAGACAGGACTAGCCAGTTCCACCCACCCACCAGGCTATGGCCAGGGAGGCTCCCACTAGACCGGGTTGCCCAAAGCCCCACCTAACCTGGCCTTGAACAGCTCCATCAACGGGGAATCCAGAGGCTCTCCGGGCAGCCCGCTCCAGCTCTGCTACCCTCCAGCCCTGCTACCATCTGAATAAAGAATTTCTTCCTCATGTCTGATTTAAGTCTATACTCTTTTAATCCAAAATCATTACACCTTGCTATCACTAGAGGACCTAGTAAGAAGTCTCTCCCCATTTTTCTTATAAACCCCCTCAGACACAGATCAGCTCACCAGCTGAATTGCTGCAAGAAAGACTGACATCAATTAATTGGAACAAAATGGAATAACAAACTAATTTCAACTACTGACAAGCTAGGCTACAAACTGTAACCTAGACATTAATTTTCAAGATTGAAATACTTGCAATCAAAGTAGCTCTTGCTTAGTATGTAATGTAATGTCTTTCAATGACAATTAGCTACTTCTTAATACTATCAAATAAAATTTGCTTTCCCAAATGATATTCCTTACTGCAAAAGCTGCAGAAGAACTCATCTCTTTGAATCTTCCTCCTTACTCCCAGTTCCCTCTGATCTGGAGAGATAAAGGCAATGGAGGCACTTGTTAACATCACTTAACACTTCAAGTCACCAAGTACTTATTGAAGTAAAAACGAAACATCCATAAAAATACTCCTAGGCATGACTCAACAAAATGACTATTAAAGAAATTCCATTTTTAAACACAGAAATTAGTTAAATTGACATCTATCAAAGTCATTGTGACAAAAGCAGAGAAAGTAAGTAGATGTCCCTTAAAAAATGATGATCATTTTCAGCTTTCTTATTTTGGAAATCTGAACCTGAACTTTCCATCTTAAAAACAAAATGGTCAAAAGTTGAACAAGAATTTAGATTAGCTCCAATCTCACAGAAATATTGATGCCACACATTCTCACATCTCAACAGATATTCTATTTGGTAACTACACCAATTCAGCATCCTTGCCTGGAACATGTAGGAATGACATTAGTTATGTGCTTACAAGAAAACAAGTCAGAATGCTCACTCAGATTCCCAACAAATCAGACAGTACATGTCTTATTGGCTCTAGAATTATTATTATTTTTTTTTTTCTAGACAAGCATTAGGCAGTTTGTGCTGCTATACACAACACCTTTGGAGCATTTAGTGAAAAAGCTTGCATCTGCCTGTCTCTTCTGCCTCACTTTTACTAATGAAGCTCAAATCACAACTGCATATTTATCTTATTAGGGAAACTGGGGAAATGAATAGACTGATCCCAGCCCCATTAGTATCTCAGAGTGTATATTTCATTCAAGGTTTTTTGTTCCTCTGTCACCCTAGGAGCTTCTCTAACCTAAGAAAACATTAACTCAATCTCTACAGTCAACAATAGAGAATTCTCTCTACACCAGTTTCCTACCGCTACAGCAAAGCAGGATTAAGTGATGGCAGCACAGGGAGTGCACAGCCTCAGAGATAAAAGAGAAGCCCAGATGCACATATTGCTTACTTCAAGTGCTATGTTCATATATTTTCAAAATTAGAAAAGAAACTTTTATGGAAAAGCATCAGACCTTGTTAAAATATACCAAAGGGAATAGTGAAAGAATGCTTAAATCATTAAGGAGTGCACAGAAGAGATTTGGGTGAGCCAGAGGCTGACAAACTCATAAGAAAATTCAGCTACAAGCAGCAAAGGCTCTTGTTCTCTGTTCTGAGACTAAAAGAGAATTAGATCTGGGTAAGGGACAGATTTTTGAAAAACAATCCTCAGGAAAGTTTGACTTAATATATTTTACTTCAGAGGCTATGTGAACATGTGCAAACAATTGCCCAATTTGACCCAGCTAAACTCGCTATGCCAAAGAATGGCATTTCTTGCAGCCATAATGCAAATACTTTCATACCCATGTCACAGTAAAAACATCAGCATAGCATTATTCAACAGTCTTTTGTTAATGAAAAGTGTCAAGAAAAGAAAAAACTAAGTCCATAACCCTAACTGAAATAACCCCATAGCCTCCTTAACAGCCATTAGCCAAAGCATTTCAAATCTTTCTACACACTTATTGCAGGCAAATGTTGCTTCTCAAAGAAAAATACCTGATTTGAATGTATCTAGTTAAGCATTTTCCCGAGGAAGCTCTATATTATAACAGCTTGCAAAGGATTATGTTTTCAAACACATTCATTAGCCTACACAAATTAACATTAAAGAAACTATATACATATTTTCTTGTGTAATTTTATTATTTGTATATATAAAAGCATATCAATTGCATATCATGTAAACTCTACTTCCCCTTATTGGCATCAGATCATGAGATACAGTAGCCTAGGGCTTCAGATACATTAAATTCAACTCTTAAATACAAACTTTGCTGCCTATTCTGTCAAAACCTTAGTGATCCACTAAAACTGTACACAGTTATTCTTACAGTCACACCAGAAAAGTACATAGAGTTACAGAATCCTTAGAGTTGGAAGGGACACTCACAGGTCATCTAGTCCAACTCCCCTGCAGCAAACAGGAACATGCACAGCTAGGTCAGGTTGACCAGGGCCTGATCCAGTCTTGCCTCAAAAGTCTCCAGGGACTAGGCATCAACCACATCTCTGGGCAATCTGTTCCAGTGCCTCACCACCCTTACCATAGTAGACCTTTTTTCCCTTATATCCAACCTAAATGTACCCTCTTAAAGCTTTAAGCCATCTCCCTTTATTATATGACCATAGACCCTGCTAAAGAGTCCGTCCCCTCCTTTCCTGTAGCTTGCCTTTAGATACCGGAAGGCCTTCTCTTCTCCAGGCTGAACAGCACAACTCTCAGCCTCTCCTTGCAGGGAGGATTATTTTTGTGGCTCTCCTCTGGATGCAGTCCAACACGTCTATGTCTCTCCTGTACTGAGGACTCCACATCTGGATGCAGTACTTGCACGTTAGCACCCACCAGTACTCCCAGGTCTTTTTCAGCAGGGCTGCGCTCAATCCTTTCATGCCCCAGCTTGTATTTGTTGCGAGAGTTGCCTCAATCCAGGTGCAAGACCTTACATTTGGATTTGCTGAACCTCACGGGGTTCATCTAGGTCCACTGCTCAAGCCTGTCTAGGTCCCTCTGGATGGCATCCCATCTCTGGTGCGTCAGATGCACCCCCACAGCTCGGTGTCATCAGCAAACTTGTTGAGGGTGCAGCTGACCTCACTGCTGATGTCACTCAAGAAGATATCACAGTATTGGTCCCAGCACCAAGCCCTGCTCGTCTCTGACCTCCATCCATTTTGAAAATATGAACTTTCTTTTTTTTTTTTTAAACAGCCTCAGCTCAAATCACTTCTTTTGTGCCAGACCTCTACGACGACATCACTTTCCACAGGAGCAACATGCAGCCTCAAGTCATGAAAGTACTGTAATCACTCAGATATTCTAAAACTTACGAAGCACAGATATCATTCTCCTTCCTGCTTCTTTGACCTTTTAACACAGTAACACGATCTTAGCTAAGTATTTCCAGTCACTGTTGCACAAACTATTCTTCTGATTTATAGGGTACCTAGTTGTTGAATGCTCTATCAGTTGCTGTACTTGTTAACTGAGCGCTCTGCAAGTTGTCTTCTGCTTGGTTGTTACAGCTCAGTGAGTTCCAGAACACCCTGATGACATGCCAGAATTGTACCAAGTTTAAAATAGAATACCACACAGATGCATCGAGATCTGTTAGTCATTCTCTTAACAGATCTACCATGCCATTAAGAACTACAGAAGCAAACGTGAATTAACTTATTTTGAGACTGCTCTATTAACATCACAAAAAGAAGGCTCCGCTGATGACAGCCTCCTCTTATACGTGAAGATGTTGGATACTACAGGTTGATTTTGCACTACTAAATATTTCCTCTCCTCCAATAGGAGAAAAACAAAACAACCTCATCTAAAATCATGTTATATTACGTTACAAAAAATATGTAATATAGCTAACCTAAGTATTGCTGTATTCACATAACCTTTCTAACCATTCATCAATTTTTACCTAGAATAATTCATTCAAGCATGTGATATAAGGAATATACCTGCCACTCCTCTGAAGTGCAAATACGATGCCTTTCTCCTGAAAAGGAAGCAGTTTCTTTCTCAGTCTTTCAGGCAGAAAGGACAGCTCAGCATCAACACTTTCAGAATAAGAAGCTTCGGGTGCATGTGTGTCCTGGAGCACATTAGCCATTTTGAACCTACTGGAAACAAAACCAAAAAAAGATGTCTGTCTTAAAAGATAGGTCTGCAATACATTATGGAATAGAACTTCATGGAATAATAACAGCTTGAAATACTTGACATTTACACATAAGCTGCTCTTATACCGATAGCAGTAGGAAGTAATGAAAATACTCAGACCAGCCAGTTGCCTTTTTCTAACACCTAACAGTCTAGGCTTTTAATGGCTGCCACAAATGACAATTTAATTCATAAAAAACACATCACAAAGGAAGAACACCAGAATCACCACCATATAGTTACTAATATACTAATACTAATATACTATACTATATATATATATATACACACACACACACTCTATATATATATACACTCTCTATATATATACTACACTATATACTAATATAGTTACTAATTAGTAACTTCCAAGATATGGCAGTCATTAAGATCCTCACAATGCTTATGTTAGAAAGGCAAAGTCACAGAGTTGTTGTAATTCAGTGAACCTCAGATAAGATCGATCTCCCCTGATAATCCTTACCCAAAAGAAAACAAGCAAAATATCCAAAACATTTTAAACATTGTTGCATTCACCTACTACAAAACACCCTTCCTGTTTCCAAAGTAGCACAGCTTCACTTGTATTACCATATAGATAAAGTGCTAAATCAAGTTGCCATAGAACTGCCTGCCTTAATTTAGAATTAAAAACAAGCAATAAATCATCTCTCTCTTTATAGCTAATAAAATCATGGCAATGTGTGGGTATAAGGAGGGAGTTTTCCCCCATGAAACCATTTCCAAAGAGGAGCCATTCAGAAAAGGGGCAGGGGAAGAATGCTGTTTTCAACATCAAAAATGTCACCAAGATTGTAAGAGAAAGTTGGCAAGATCTCAGTGCTTCACTGTGCTTTATCAGTGCACTTTATTTTATAACAATGCCTTTGAAAACACATTAGGTTTTTGTTCATTTGTTTTTCCCTAAAGTTAATTAATTTTCATCTTTTGGCTTATCTGGCTAAAAGGTACCTGATGAGGACCTGTCCAAGAAACATGTTTTAGCTGGACACAAGAAATCTACTTAAATTAGCACACACATAAGCAAACTCCTACATCACCCACTGAGGAGCATCCTAGTAATTTTTAAGAGCTTGGAGGCTTTTCCCCCTCTGGGCTACAAAGCCAGCTTGAGGGCCAGACTCAGGAACCACAGAATTGCAGGGGTTGGAAGGGATGTCCAGAGATCACCAAGTCCAACCTCCCTGCCAAAGCAGGCTCCCTACAACTGCAGCCAGTTTCCCTACAATTGCACAGCCAGGCATCCAGACCGGCCTTGAATATCTCCAGAAAAGGAGACTCCACAACTTCCCTGGGCAGCCTGTGCCACTGCTCTGACACCCCCACTGGGAAGAAGTTCTTTCACATATTGGTGTAGAACTTCCTTTGCTCCAGTTTGTGGCCATTGCCCCTTGTCCTACCCCACAGACCACTGAAAAGAGGTTGGCCAATTGCATCTTGAGAATTCTCTAGAACATACAACATAAAGCAGATGATAAAGAGCCTGCAACATTATGTCAATAAAATGTTCTAACTACTGCAATTGGAAGAGGCTGGTGCACATCGCTTCTTCAACACTATGAAGAATTCAATATTCTTCCTATTCAATGATGATAGTTATTGATCATTCAAATACAGCTTACTTACAGACATTAAAAGGAAGTATTTACTTTTTCAGGGAAGTTACAAAGAGGACATTTTACTTTTAATAAGGAAACTAAATATCCACTAAAACTTGTAATTCTAAGATCAGGAAGTAATGGCAAAATATGCCCAGTATGTTTCAGCTGAAAAACAAACAACAAAGCAGAAGCAGAAACAAAACCAAACCAGAACCTTCCTTTCAGAAAGAAACATTCATAAAGCACAGAATACATCAATCAAAATTCTCATACTGCACTTTGCTCAATTTGTTCACAGGAACAGGGCCAGAGAAGAAATACTAGCTCTTGTTCTCTGAGAACTTAATAGATTTAAGACATCAGACTGTTCAGTAGTAGCACACCAACTAAACACGTGCAAAGGAACAAACCCTACATCAGAGCATAAAGAAAAGGTCTTTGACCCTGCACTGCCTAATTGTCTAGTTTTGGATTCACAGCCTGTAAAAGGAGCAAGACCTTAATGAGCACAGAAACAAGGAGTATCAGCCAAAATGCACCTCTAGTCATGAAAGTACTGTAGGTTTTTATAAAACCTCAACAGTAGGTTTTGTACTACAAGGCTTGCTATCAAATTTTTGTAAGAACAAGTTGTGCTCAGATTTGTTGAAACTTATGCATTTCTGAAGCAACTCAGAAGTCAGATACGATTTGATAGGATGAATCATAAAACTTCCGGCAAGAAACTCACTGAGCTATTGCCATTCACTTCAAAGATCTGCAGGGCTAAATAACCTGGTTTTTGCACTGACTAGTTACACAGACAGACCTAGGGGCAATGGAAGTGGTTAAAGTAATCAGTGCAGTAAAGCAAGATCATGCAAGACAGAGTTTGCAAGAGCCTGCTTCTAATATCCTGGAGTACTGTTAAGTAAAACAAACAGATTCTGATGAAGTTACATGAAAGAGAACAGCACTCATTCATAAATTCCACATATGAACTTCTAGATACAAAACTTGAAGCACACTCTTCCAGACAAAGTTACATTCTCTTCAGCAAAGAAAATCTAGGTGCCACCACACTTTTGTATGAGAGAAAAACCACCTTCCCAAGGGCTTTCTGAGGGCCATCAGGTTGCTAAAACTAAGAACTTCTTCCATTGGGCAAGGTGAGTTTTTCCAAGACAGCCAAACTTGCTCTGTGCAGTGCAACCTCTTGGTGCCACAGCATGGATGGTAGCATGCATCACCTTGAAGTCAGGGCGAGCCAAAGGAAGATGAAAGGAACATTGGACTAGAGAGCTACAAAAAGAAGTTAACAGGACTTTAACAGGAATTCACTCTTCTGCAGCAAAAGAATTTGGCACTACTGAAGTACTGTTGACAAAAGTGTCTGTAAACAGAGACCCAGTTTCTGTTGAACTGTTATCCTTTGCACAACATATAAACCACTAAACATATTACCATCGATGCATGAAAACAAGAATCCATACTGGAGTCATGGGTGCATGTCTTCTATAGATTTCTTTGTAATTAATTATTAAGCTAAAAAATCAATGCCTTATATATAATTACTTTGGTAGAGATGGTCATTTAGAGCTCATTTTAGATAGATCAAATATGCACAGCATTTTGTAATTTCATCAAATAAACACAAGTTTATATTAAAGTGACAGTGTATCAGAAACACTGGTTGATATCCCAAGGAGGCCAGTATATGCCTGTTGTTCTAACCATTAAAGCTCCAGAAGCTCTAAGAACAGATAAAGGATTAGTGCACATGTTTTCTCTATTTTTTTTTCCCCCCATTTATTCCTGAGTCCCAAGTATGCTGTAAAAGACATCATGACAACCCTCGCACATCTCTAGATCACAAGCACAGGAACTTTGGTTTTCTTACATAAAAGAGACCTAAAAGCTCTGATGCAAAGATGCAGACTTTCATTCAGGGCTTCATTGAGTAAACAGCAGTGACAGAATTCTTATGACTAACAAAACAAAGCCACAAAAACAAAATAAATGAAAATGCATATGGTATTCTCCCAAGCTTTCTAAAGGGCCACAAAGATGAAATAACAGGGTTACTAAAATAATAGCATCTATTCGTCTGAAATCGCTGTAGAATCTCAGGAGTAGAGAGTGGAAAGTGACAGCACTTCTTAAAAGCAGGGATAGCGAAGATCTGTGGTATTACTTTATTCATTTCTGGGGAAAAAAGTGAGTAAAAATGATGAAGCATAGAACTTACAAACAACAGGGTAAAGACGTCTGTGCACAGGGTATCAACATGTCGTTTCATAGAATCATAGAATCACAAAGTTGGAAACGACCTACAAGATGATCTAGTCCAACCGTCTCCTCATCACCATTGCCACTACTAGCACTAAACCACATCACGCAGCACGTCATCCAGATGCCTCCAGATGCCAGGGACGGCAACTCCACCACCTCTCTAGGCAGGCCATTCCAGTGCCTGACCACTCTCTGAGAGAAAAAATTCTTCCTTATGTCTAAGGAAGAACCTTTTGTACAGGTACCTTTACCTTTTGTACAGGTAAATCTTATCTTTCAGGTCTACTAAAAGATTTTCAAAGGGGGAAAGCATCCAAGAATGTACATACAAACTGGCTGATGCAGTTCAGTTTCCACTTTTTGAAAGTTAACAACAGAGTAAATTTTATTACTATATTCATACAGTACTTATGATTTCCAGGAAAGAATCTGAAATGAAAAATCTCTCAAACTTTTAAGGAAACTGGACTGCAAAGAAAAAGAAAACAAAACCACAACACCAAAACAGGAAGATGATAGCACTGCAACCTTCTTCTCTTGTTCTTAGAATACAAGTTCTGCTCATACACGAGACGCGAAATAAGCAGCATTTCAAAATCTGTTCTAGCATCTACTGCATTCACTGAATTCATAAATCTCTAGGAAAAGCAAGTACTAAGGGGTAGGAGGAGCATAAATATTAATAAAAGGAAAATTAAACATAAAAAAACAAACAAAAACAACCCTGGAGTACTGTCATTGCTGCTTGTTTTACTACAGACATTCTTCCTTCCAGTGACACAAGGCACAAGCTGTTTAAGACACATAAACTCAAGTACTAGGAAGTCAGATGACTGACGAGAACTTCAGGGCCCAGCGGGAGATCTGAGTTCCAAGACAGCTGCTTGCTATCACAAGCAGTGGTCATTACACAAACCATTTATTTCATAGGCTGCTCATTAAGAAAGCATTTCCATGCAGCTCACAGCAGACCCCCAAAACAAATGGGTGTTTCCACCACACATTTAGCTTATGTTTCACAGAACCACAGAATCATATTCCTTTTGATGTTCTTCACTGCCCTATGACTCTATTTTCCATGAGGCTTAATGGGAAACACAAAGCTTTAAGAAAATCACAGAATCCATTTTTCTACCAATAAGAAGATCTTAAAGCGACTTAAGATATTGAAACAAAGAAATTTAGAAGAACGATCAGTTAGAACAAAGAACAGCGATCGCAGCGCCATACATCACATCACAATTTTACCACAGGCTATCAGGGAAAATAGACACCTCCGCCTCTGCTCAGGGACAAAGGTTTTTGTGGGTTGTCCTGGACTTACACACGTGCGGCAACACCCCAGCGCTGGGGGGAGCAGAGCGAGTCTTTCTGCTGCAAACACGGACTGAGGCAGAGAAGCCCGCGGACACCCAACCCTCACCTTGCAAAGGCCCAGCCCAGCGCCTTACGCCTTGGCGCGCTCTTTACTCAAACGCTGCCGGCGGAAGTGACGTAAAACCGGCAGCGCGCACGCGCAGGCAGGAAGCCGCGGGCTTCCCGACGCGCTTCCGGGGTGGGGAGCAGTGTGGCGTTGTGCTGTGGTCGGGCCGCTGGCTGGGGCCAGGCTGAGAGGCCGAGCTGGGATTACAGTTCCTAGCTTTCTCCGGCCGAGTTTTCCGTGGCTGCGATCTAGGCACAGTTCACCGCCAACCCCGAGTGAACAGCCATGCTCCCTAACTGCCGTTAGCCGCGGCCGCAGTCTGTTTGCGCACCGCCGCGCTGTGCTAATGGTCGCTGGCTACCCACTGGGGGTGGGGGCTGCCGTGCCGGTCTGCCCGCTGAATGGGATTCTTATTGGTGATCGCGGCCGTCTGTCAGCGCAGCGGCACCTCCGATTGGTCGTTATCTTCTGGATGGGCCTGTGCCCGCCTAGGCGTTGAGGGGCGCCACTCGCCGGCAGCTTTGAGGGCGGGCGGCGCGCCGCTGATTGGGCGGCTCGGCCGTAACTCAGGAACGTTCCATGTCCCTATTGGCAGCGGAGCGGCGGAGAGGCGGGCCTCTCTCCCCGCCGCGGCAGCAGGCGGAACCCAGGCGGCTATCGAGGCTGGCGATGGGGTTAAGCGCCCCTCGTGCGTGAGCCCGCCGCCGCCGCGCCGGCCCGAGTCCGCCGGCCGCGCCGCCGCCGCCGCGGTAAGGAGCCTGAGGCGGCTCCCGGTCGGGCGGCGGAGCTGAGGAGAGCGGGAAAGGAGGAGGCCGAGAAAGCAGGAGGAGGGGAGAGAGGGGGGGGGGGGGCGGTCGGCCGCGCCCGCAGTGCGGAGAGCAGGGGGCAGCCGCTGCGGGAGGGAGGCCGTTGGAGGGGGGAGGGGCGGGCGGCGCGGCCGTTGGGGTGGTTGGCGGCACCTGCGCGGCGCGGCCAGGGGACCGCGGGGCGGCACGGCCCCACTTCTCTAACCTAATATAGGCAGGGCCGGCACCGAGCGGGGCACGGCGGCCCCGGGGCCGAGCGATCCGTGGGGCGGCTGGGCAGCGGCTCCGGGCCGGCCGCCGTTACCTGCCTGAGCGCTTCGCCGGGAAAGCCGGCCACGGCCCTTCGGCGCGCTGCGTGTGCCGGGCTGAGCCCGGAGGGCTGCGAGCGGCTCGGCTCCGTGCGGCTGTGGGTGGGGATGTGCTCGGGCTGCGGTCCCAGCGGGGGGCCGTCCCGTTGTGGTTTTGCTGCAGGACGGTTAATATGCGTGGAAACGTGTCTAACCGTGTGAGTGAGGTGAAAACTGTGTCACAGCCTGACTGCTGCAGGTTCTCTGGATGACGTTTTAAAATCAGGTTTCGGCGCTGAAGAATGGTTTTTCGTTGTCTAGAAATGAGATGGGCAGAGAAGTGCAGTGCGGCAGCTTCTTCCAGACTGAGGTGATTTGGGGTTATTTGCACTGAAAGGTTTGCCCAAATGCTGTCCTCGCTGAACCTACGGTGTGAGCTGCGCCTGCTGGGTCTGCCTGCTGCCCTCGTGCTTCTCTGAGCGCCGTAGAAAGTCGTGCGGGAAGGGGGGGGGGGAATCCAGGAGTTAGGGATACCTTCATTCAGGTGCATTGTTTGGCGGCAGAATCCACAAGTGTGCGCTGACTCTTGGGCTTTCTGTCTGTCTTTTCTGTTGGTTTTTCCCAGTGATGCCTTCTTGTCAATAACCTGAAACGATAGCAAGATTTCCTTCTGCCCTTGAGGTAACTAAGGGATATACTGTGGCTTTTGTTGTTGCTTTTACTTCTACACGATGTTTTAGATGAGGTTTTTCAATTTTTTTCTTTTGTGATGATGTCGCTTTCTGACTGAGGCATTAACTTGAAATTTTCACCCAGATTATTTCCTTATGTCTTCTACAGGGAGAATTGTACTGCATTTGGGACTTGCTTTTTGGTTGAATGCTTAGCAGAAGGTACGACGTTGGCAGTCGTGTTGGGAATGTTAGGTTAGAAATGTTTAAGTGAAAGCAACAAAAATAAAATTTTGCTCTTACAGTAATTTTTTTTTTTTTTTTTTTTTTTTTAAAAAGGTGTTATTTGACCGGTTTGCCTCTGAGGAGGAAGAAACAGCAGTGATAACATACTTATTGGATAGTCTTCCTTTAGTTACAAGTGTTATCGCCAAGCATGATATTAAGCCTTTTTTTTTTTTTTTTAATTTCTTTTGATAAATACTGTGGTCTTCAGGGTTGGAGCATTTTGTAGAAAATCTGTAAGTCAGAGTTTGTTCTCTATAATTAAAAAAAAAAAGCAGTGGAAAAGATAACATTAGGACTTGTTGTGTCTTAAATCATGGGAGGTCAGAACTAACTGTATAAGTCAATTCTACTATTTGTTTTACACAACTGTAATTGCTGTTGAGATCAACTGCTGCTTTTCTCAGGAGCGAACGTGGGTACGACTAAATATTGTAATTGCAAGGGCTGTACACACAGCGTTGAGGAGGTGGATATTGTTACCTTCCTATTTCTCTTCTTAAACATAGATTTATGTTTATACGTAACACAGAATTGCATCTTATACTTTTTTCTCTGTTCTGTTATATTGTAGAAGTTTGGCATTCATTGCTGCTTATGTTTCATTATAGTTACCTCACATCATTCTTTCTTATTTTGTAATACTTACTTAAAGCCTGTCTGTGTAACTGCTTCCAACCAGCTGGATGCAGCAGGTGAAATGCTTTAGATGTAGCTCTGGATGCAAAAGGATCATTCTTGAAAAGGGCTGCCAGCTTTGTCCAGTGGGTTAACTTCAGTTCACGTGTCCTTGCATCACTACTTCAAGTCATTTACTTCTGAGTTAGTTTGCAGTGCCATGTCCTTAAATAGGATACTTTTTAAATTTCGAGGCACTCTATTCTAGGCTTTTAAAAGCAGTCGATACAATTGGTTTTATTTTGGTCTCTGAGGTCTGTTGAACTTGTATTCCGAATGAGTTCTCAGGTAATGATCATGGAGCAAAAGGAACTTTGCAACACAGTATAGATGAGTTTTCTAAAAACTTTTGCATATGTTGATAGCAGCGTTCAGTTTGGTGAGCTAGATAACTGTGCTGTAACTTTACTGCTTGTAAAAAAACAGCAGTAACTTTGGATATTCTGATTTGTGTTAGCCACTATAATCACTACAAAGTAGCTGACTGTAAACTTTTCCAGTTTATTCTAGTTCCTCTTATATTTCGGAGTTAAGCAATAGCTAGTAAATGCAAAATGTTGTTATTGGGTGTAACATCTAAGGAGCTTTCACGGAGGCGGTGGAGCATTCTGTAAAGCCGGTGCTGTTAGACTGGGAGCACTGCAGAGATGTTTGGGTTTGGGAGCCCGGTTAATCTCTTAGTGGCAGTTTTCCCACCTACATTCTATGTAGGAATGGTTAGATAGAAATGAGCCAGGGGCTTTTGTTAAAACGTGCACTTCAAATCGAGCCTTTTTAATAATAGAAAGATGAGTTGTTTGGCTCTGTAGGATATGCACAATCAGGCCATTCACACTTTTAAGGAAAGAAAATTCTATGAGAATGCCTTAATTTGGTGCTTTATTCAGGATGATTGGTAGCACTTATGCAAGCCCTTCAAGTATGCTTTTTCTTTGAGTTTCTCTGTTGGTTTTGCTTTGAGGTGGTAGACTGATGCACTGTGTAACAGTGTTATGTTAAGAGGTTTTCTGAAAGTGGTATTGAAAAGCTATTTCTAGGAGATCATAAATCAGCAATAGGTTCTGATTAAATGTGGCTGGGAAGATTGTGCTGTCAGCCTACCTGTAAGCCTAATTTGATTTCAAGACTTTTGAAGGAGTCCTGCGGAGGAAATAATATCTGTAACCAGATTTACGGAAGCACAGCAACCTTAATTACAGAAAAGCCAGCAGTGCTAGAGCTGTGCAGAAGTTAGCCTCCAGTTTAATGCAGGCATTATGAGAATTCTGTCACTGTGTCACTTTGTGATATGAACCATTTTCCAATACGAAACATTTATGTTTCCAAGCATATTATATTTTCTGCTTGTATCCAGGCTGGTGAAGCAAGCTGTAGATTTGAAGAGCGCGGCTAAGAGATGCTTAATAGAGGGTTTCTTTTCTGTTCTTCATCTTTGATTCCCCTTGGAAGGCAATAGGACATTTTCTCTCTGCAGCCACTGCTTTCTGATTAAATATGTATATGCTGCATAGTTTTTATGTCCTTGTTTATATGCTAAGTTTTTCTGTTCTTTTAGCCCTTTCCTAACATGAATTCTTATTGTTTAATCTGTAACTCAGAGCATTTTCTGTATAAAGTGGAGTTTTGTCCTTTAACATTCTCAGCTCTCTTCTCAGCTCCCTCACCAGTTTTGTTTGCTACCAAGCTCCTACTGCCATTTATGGAAGGTCTTTGTCCAGTGGTGTACAGAATGGTCTGATGGCTGAAACTTATTGTGGCGAACTCTTGTCATTAAAGATATGGCTGAATAGCATAGCATAATTGTTCCTTCATTGCAAAAGTATAGGTTTGATTAGCTCATATGACCAGGGTAAAAAATAATCTCTAAAAGGTACAAATACAGAAACTGTTATTGCTGGGTTTGATAAAGCTGCGTATTCTAAGCAAAGATCCAGTGTTGAATTTCAGACTAAGAGAAAAGTATGGTACGATAGCTAACTTAAATTGCCATACTTGCTTTGGAAAAGTACACTTTCTGCTAAGAGAAGTGTAACGATTTTCTATTCATATGAAGTTCCAACTAAGCCATTTTGCTTCATGTTACAGTAAAACAAGATATAAACAGATGTGCTCCTTGCAGCTACCTATCTGCATGCAGGAATCTGTCATATTTGCTTTTTGTGGACAGCCTCTTATCACCCCCTCTGATCTGTTAATTGAGCTGTTATAATGAGTAGTTTTTGAACATTTCACTTTAGACTATGTAGGGCTCTTTTTTAATTCTAATTTAAACA